AAAGGTAGAGAAAAGAATAGAATTAACCAACATATAATGTATCTGTCACTGGCCTAAACAATTACTATCATGCTTCCAATCTCGTTTCACTTCCTCCCATCCCCTACCCCACTTTTCTTTAAACTGGAGTATTTAAAACCAAATCCCAAATATCAATTCTTTCCTAATAGGGAAGGACATTAAAAAAAAAAAAAAAGTAACTGCCCTGCTATTATCACATAGAATTACAAGTAACTCTTGCATAACATCTCCTAATACCCAGTCCATATTCAAACCTTGCAATTGTTTCAAAGCCGTGACAAGAGTCAGTGGTAGAAGCTGGGATTGGAAACCAGGCAGTGGGACTCCAGCAGAGTCTAAGAGCCCTAACTCATGGAATGAGAGAGCCCACGGAGCGCTCTGTAGGAACCGGCAGGAAAGGGCAAAATAAACGGGGGGAGAGGATGTAAGGGTGCCTGTGAACAGACAGGCTGTTCTTAACGTGAGCAAAGTGGCGTCAATCAGGAGAGAACGGACAAGCTTCAGAAGACCAAGTTTGGAGGCTGCTGAGGGAAAAGAGGGATAGGGGGGCTCGCTCAATGAGAGGAGTAAGGACACCCCCCGCGATGCAGCCCTGATGCCGACAGCGTTAGGACTTGCGGGTGTGCACGATCTGACTCCCACAGCGGCAGAGGGCAGACGTGCCTCCTGCTCCATGCCCCAGCTGAGAAAACTGGGCGGTGGCGCGGCTGGGGGCAGAGCAGACACTAACCGACAGGGGGCGCTGGTTACCAAACAAATCAGGCATTGCCTGCAGGATTCCAAACATCCCTTTGGATAAGCGGCGATTTAAATATTCCTTGGGATAACTGTCATAAAACAAGGGCTAGATGATCACCAGCTTTTACTCTAATACACTTTTCTGGAATATGGTTTCAAATCTTCCTGCCAGTTGATCAAATTTCAACACTTCAGGGAAGTGGATGTGATTTGAAGTTTGGTTCAATAGCAAACGGCCAAGGAAGAATTCTTGGAGGTTTTAGGTTCAAAAAAGGTGATTTTATTATAGCAGGGGGACAGACCCCCTAGGCAGATGAGCTGCACCTGAGTGTGGGGGTGACTGACTATATATTTTAAGTTTGTGGAGGGAGGGGAGGTATAGATAACATAGGTTTCCAAGGAATTTCTGTATGTGCAAAGCAGGGTCTTACAGGACCGTGAAGATCTAGCTATTGTCAAGACAACGTTGCTTCTAGTCTTTAACGAATATCCCTAGACTGCAAGCTCTAAGTTTCATTTAAACAACATCTTTCTTGCCTTTGTCCTCCTCATCAAAGTGAAACCCTGGTAAAGGAGGAGTGCAGAAGAAATACTAGGAGAAATTAGAGCTCAAGTGGAAACTTTGCAGACGAGTCTTGGCTTCCCAAGAAGGCCCTGTCCGGAGAGGCTCGTGTTCCACAATTAACCACAAGATGACACTTTTTTGAGCCAAGCCTTGGGGTAGTGTTGAAAATAAAAGGGGCTGATGGTCACGGGATATAGGCATGTGGCAGCTTCAAAAATGCACCCCTTAGGTCTTGGGGAACAGTTAATTGGCATTTCGGCCCTAGTAGATTAGTAGCTGCTCTTTATATCTGCTTTTCCCATACTGGTTCTTTTAGTAAGCCCTTTGCCCAATGTGAGGCTTGAACCCACCACTCTGAGATCAAGAGTTTCGTGCTCTATCAACTGAGCCAGCCAGGTGCCCCTATTCCATTATTCTTTACAGTTCTCCTTACTTCCTATTAGCCAGTCTCTCATCGCTCCCATCCCCTGTGGTAGCTCATAGTGCGAGATACTGAATCCAGGTAAGAGTTTACCATTCCTGCTCGCAGGGACTCAGACACCAGTCTCCTGGGGCTTATACAAAGACTGATCCACAGGCACAGAATCCCACACAACAGCATCCAATCAGGTCACCCACTTCCCAGGAAAATGTGTGAGACTGGGTACCGGACCTTGAAACCATCAGTCGTTGCACACACGGTGCTTCTAGAAGGAGCCAGCTCCACAGAGGACTAGAACAACCAATGCGCAGCCTAAGTGCCAGCAACCTTTTGAAAGGTTGGAGTACCATCTGTCAGGACGCCTTTCCCCTAAGGCTTTCGGACCATTTCTGGGAACCAGTGAGTGGAAGAGGGAGTGGTCCTACTTACCAACACTTCCAAAGCTCCACCGTGGGACCTGGTGCTTCCCATCCATTTCTGAATCTTGCAGCATTGGAAGTCCTGGTTCCAAAGGAAGCAATTCTTGCCAAGGGTCCCAGGAGGGTCCCATTGAACTATGAACTATGGCTGAGTTCAGGGACCATTGGCCTGCCTGTGTGCAAGCATGAGCTGATGAAAAAAGGAGTGTCCCTGGCCAGCGGGAGGAGCAGAGCTACTCCTAGACATGAGGACAAGAGTGACCATGTGGAACCCAGGTCATCTACCAAGTGTCTCCTGGTACCCCCAGGCCCCACCGTACTGTGAATGTGCGCATGCAGCAAACCTTCCCTTTGCCTCCTGCTCACTCCTGTCTTTGTCCCTCTTTCACGGGTGTCACACTTGCTCCACGGTCTGAAGGTCGTTGCTGTCTTCTGGGGATCCCCGCCTCTGCAGGCATATCCCCCACGTCTCACGCACATCTCATTCTGTCTTGACACGTGCTTCCCAGAGGACCTGAACATAAGCCATGAATGAAAGGACCAGCATGTGGGTGGGGGAGAATGTCCACTCTTTTAATGCGATTAACAGAGCTGTTTTTTCCTCTCGATGTCTTTTTCTTCCTGGTATATGCCTTTAGCACCACAATCTTACCTTTTATGGCACTTAGAGCACTTAGGGAGGCTAAATTTGTATGTGGCTTGATTAATGTTTCTCTCTCTCTTACTCTTGTAAGCTCTGTTGGGGGGCAAGGTCAAGTGGTTTTTTTGTTGTTGTTTTGTTTTCAGAATTGCACAGCCAATTTTTTTTTTTAAGATTTTATTTATTTGTTTGACAGATAGAGATCACAAGTAGGCAGAGCGGCAAGCAGATAGAGAGAGGGGGGAAACAGGCTCCCTGGTGAGCAGAGAGCTCGGTGTGGGGCTCGATCCCAGGACCCTGAGATCATGACTGGAGCCAAAGGCAGAGTTTTAACCCACTGAGCCACCCAGGTGCCCCTGTAAACCCAATTCTTAACATGACGCTGAGCACACAGGGGCTTAAAATTATTGAATGATTATACTTATTCAGGGATATTCAGTCTATAGCAAAATTTACTAAGTGTAGTAGCAAGAGAACATTATTGAGAGGACACGATCATGAAATGTACAGGAGTCCTGCGGAGTAGACTTATGATTCTAGAACATAGATAATGGTCAGCTGTCCAATCATTAAGCTAACAAGATCTAATGAGGAGTGGTGGCTACGCCTCATGCTATGTGGGGTGGCCTCCATGCCTTCAATAGAAATAAACACGCAACAGCATCATGGAGATTTGTGCGGTTGTTTTCGGTCATTGGCATGAGGGAATTTGAAAAGCAAGCCCTCCCTGCCTCTTTATCTTCCACACCACCTATGTTAGGGTTAACCTGTGGCTTGAATGCTTAGCAACTACATTATTATTGCGTCCAGCAGGCCATTTTAAGTGTTTTCTAGAAGGAAAAGATTTCTGATCGTTCCCTGTGAATAGCACGGACACAAAATGCACAGTTGTGTGTGTCCTCTAGGGGTGACTCTGCACTTGGGCTCACCCAAGAGTGAGCATCTCTTTCATGCTGCCCCCCAGGCATGTAGTTAGCCTCACCCTGGTCCCGGCCCCATGTGGGAGCCTCATAAAATGGCAGATTTGTGAGTCCCTTCTCGGAGCATGGAACATTACATACAGCTGTCGCCAACTTAACGATGGTTTCACGTGATTTTTCAACTTCACTGTGGTGTGAAAGCGAAGACTTTGGGCAGAAACTGCAGACCATTCTGCACCCATACCACCGTTCTGGTTTTCACTTTCAGCACAGTATTCACTAAATTACATGAGATATTCAACACTTCAGTGTAACGCAGGCTTTGTGTGAGATGATCTTGACCAACTGTTGGCTAACGTAAGTGTTCTGGGCTTATGTTATGTTTAAGGGAAACGAGGCTAAATGATTGATTTTCAATAAGCTGGGTGTATTAAATGCATTTTTGGCTTACTGATATTATCAACTAACAATGGGGTTATCAGGACATGACCCCTTTTTAAGCCAAGGAAGATCTGTACTTTGCACTGAGAATAAAGAAAAGAAAATATCTACTTGACTTCAAGAGGGAATAAGTCAATTAAAAGATGTTTAATTAATACAAAAAATGGATGTACATAATTAATAAAAGGCATTTCAAAAGTTAGGATCATTGCCCAAAAAAGTCAAGTGAAGGTAGAATACTGAACCCTAATTTGCATAACATTTCATTTAAAAATTTGCTTTGCATACAAAAAGAGAAACATGAAGGGAATACTTTAGATTGGAAATCAAGACACAAATCAAATACTTCCAAGAAATGCTGCACATGACTTTACTTCTCTTCTTTTTTTTTTTTTTAAAGATTTTATTTATTTATTTGACAGACAGAGATCACAAGTAGGCAGAGAGGCAGGCAAAGAGAGAGAAAGGAGGAAGCAGGCTCCCTGCTGAGCAGAGAGCCCGATGTGGGGCTCAATCCCAGGACCCTGGGATCATGACCTGAGCCGAAGGCAGAGGCTTTAACCCACTGAGCCACCCAGGTGCCCCCTTTACTTCTCTTCTGAATCAAGAGGCTTTATGCAAATCTAACTTCATGAATCATCGATAATTATCATAAAGCTTTATGGCTCCAAAATCATGATACCCACCATGAGACATGAATCACTGTATATCTCTGGTTTTAAGAATCATCCAGAGGCCAGAATTTGGGTTTACTGCCCACCTTTACAAACAAATATTAAAACCTTTTTGGGAGATCATGATACCTCTATTATTAATTTGAAATGATTTCATTTTTCAATTAGCTTGCTTAGAAATGAAAGGCATAATCATAAAGTATGTCAAGCCCCATTCCTAAAAAAGAAATCTTTAATCACAGGCTACACAGTGTTGTCTGGGGCTTAAATGTGCATTATTTCAGGAACAGTTTTTGCATAGGCATGACTGATAACATTAAAAGGCAGAAAGTGATAGTTCCCTTCATATTATCAGCTCCTGGAAAGTATGAAAGTGCATTCTTGAGAAATTAAGGCATCTGGAGACAAAAGACACATGTAGTTTCCTTAGCTTAGAGCTTGCTTTTACTCTTGAAATCCTCCTTCAACTGTTTGACGACAGAAAGGTCCCCTGCTCCGTCAGGCCAGTTGTCGTGATCTGGTAAGTGGAAAAGCTCACGTCAAGCGTAAATCTATTAACCTCTTTCATCATCTTAGTTTCCAGCAGACTCCCTTCTTATTTTCCCTGGTTCACCCCTTTTCTTTTCTCGGCAAGAAAAAAGAAATCATTAGGACAACTGGCAAAGGTCTTGAGAAAATCCTGGTTTTGAATCCCAGCCCTGCCAGGTACTAGCATTTCCAAATTTGGAGAGGTTCCGCCTCCTGAGCCTGTTTTCCTGGGGCGAGGCCGGGGTTGGGGGGTGTGTTGGAATATTCTAACAACATCTGCTCTTCTAAAGTTGTGAAAAGTAAATGTGACGGCCTATGCAGAGTGCTTGGCGTACCGCAGCGGTTCCACACATACTATTTCCTTAGGAACCAGGATGACTTTAAAGCCATGTACTTATTTTGTACCGGGCACACACAGCTGCCTGTCCAGCATCCAGTCCCTCATCCTCTCTTTCCAAGAGCCTCCACCTGCACTGGGGAAATCCATGAGTTTCTGGGGAAGTGGCCCCACTTTGATCTCCAACTGAGCTAAGCCTCGCCTCTGGCTACTGGTTGGGGAGGGCTACACACATCAGCTGGTCCAAAACATAGTAGGTCTCAGAATTCTGCTAGAAATGCTATAAAACATCATTCCCCTCCCTTGTCTCTGTCCAGCAGGCTGGGGAAAAAGAAGCATGGGGTTTTTGGAGGACAGGCAGCTGTTCTGCAACCAGGAGAGTCCGTCTTAAGAGAAAGCCAACACCACAGAAGCAAAAACAGAGGGAAAAGAAAAAAAAAATATTGCCCCCGATGAGCTCAATGAGCGGATAAGTTAAGTCTAGCAGACCGTTCAGTTACGGGCCAATAAATGCCCTTCCTGCTCAGGCCAGTATGAGCTACAGCTAAAAACATCCTATCTGACACAAGGCTTTAAATGTGCATTATCTAATTTAACGCTTCCAACCGTTTACCCAATGAATGCTATAAGTGACCCCGCTTTGCAGAAAGAAAAATGGAAGCCTACAGAAATTAATTCTCCCAAGATCACACAGCTACTGTGTGATCTTCTACTCCAGGACTTGTCACTCCTGGGCTGGTGATTTTCAAGAAAACACAGGACGGAAAGGCTCAGTATTCCCACTTATGGTGAGGTGGGGGCAGAAGTATATTCTTTTTTTTTTTTTTAAGATTTTGTTTATTTGTTAGAAAGAGAGGAGCACAAGCGGGGGGAGCATCAAGCAGATCAGGCAGAGGGAGAAGCAGACTCCCCACTGTGCAGGGAGCCCGATGTGAGACTCCATCCCAGGACCCTGGGATCATGACTTGAGCTGAAGGCAGCTGCTTAACCGACTGAGCCCCCCAGGCATCCCTGGGTGGTGGAGGGAGTATATTCTTGAAAAACTGCTGTAACTGATTTCACCCAAAACTTTTAAAAAATCTCTACACTAATAAATACAGTGTTTGGGGCGCTGGGATGGCTCAGTCGGGTGAGCGTCCGACTCGATTTTGGCTCAGGTCATGATCTCAGGGTCCTGAGATGGAGCCCAGCATTGGGCTCAGCAGGGAGTCTGCCTGGAGATTCTCCCTCTCCCTTCCCCCTGCTCACTCTCTCTAGTATAAATAAATAAAATCTTAAAAAACAAAACAAAGGGGTGCCTGGGTCGCTCAGTGGGTTAAAGCCTCTGCTTTCGGCTCAGGTCATGATCTCAGGGTCCTGGGATCGAGTCCCACATCGGGCTCTCTGCTCAGCAGGGAGCCTGCTTCCTCCTCTCTCTCTGCCTGCCTCTCTGCCTACTTATAATCTCTGTCTGTCAAATAAATAAATAAATATTTAAAACAAAACAAAACAGCGTAGGAATTAATAAGGAAAATCTTTCACTGGTGGCCCAGAGAAGCCGCTATCTGGAGTTCCTTTCCCTTTTCTGAACGAGAATCGACAAATACCCTCAGCGCCGCTGGGGAGGGAAGTGGCCACTTTACTCTCTGAAAACGGTATCGTACAGCACGGAGGCATTTCTGTCTTTCTAACCAGGCGCCTTAAAACCATCGTATCTGGGGCACCTGGGTGGCTCAGCGGGTTAAAGCCTCTGCCTTCGACTCGGGTCATGATCCCAGGGTCCTGGGATCGAGCCCCACATCGGGCTCTCTGCTCAGTGGGGAGCCTGCTTCTCTCTCTCTCTCTCTGCCTGCCTCTCTGCCTACTTGTGAGCTCTGTCAAATAAATAAATGAAATTAAAAAAAAAAACAAACCATGATAGCTTCTGCACATCACCACATTGATGTTACTAGCAAATACTAGTAAATCTAGAAATCTAGACAGGAGGGGGAAATAATAATATTGAAGTCCCATACTTATCATTTATTAAGGCAAAGAAGATCTGAAGCCTGGAGTAGACTGTTAGTACACAAAAGAGTAGGGTGAACCTTGGTCCCTGATATGAAACTGAAATGCACATGCAGGAGTCTAGAGTGGCCCAGTAGGTTAAGTGTCCAACCCCTGGTTTCAGCTCAGGTCTGATCTCAGGGTCGTGAGATGGAGACCTGCTTTGGACTCCATGCTCAGCAAAGACTTTGCTTGAGATTCTCTCTCCTTGTCCTTCTGCCTGCCTCTTCTCCCGTGTTCTCTCTCTCACTGAAATAAATAAACAACTCTTAAAAAAACAAAAAAAAGAAATACACATGCATTACATCAACCACATTTTGATTTGCTAGTAGCCATTTAACACTCTTCAGCAACAGTGTAAATACCTTTGAATTTTATATTCGTGTGCAATGTCTATATTTGGCTGAGACTCATGAAATTACTGATTTTGTATATTAAAAATGGTTGGAGAAGGCATTTGCAAATACCTACTACAGACACTACAGACAAAGGGCTGATATCCAAGATCCATAAAGAACTCCTCAAACTCAACACACACAAAACAGATTATTACGTCAAAAAATGGGCAGAAAACATGAACAGACACTTCTCCAAAGAAGACATACAAATGGCTAACAGACGCATGAAAAAATGTTCATCGTCATTAACCATCAGGGAGATTCAAATCAAAACCACATGGAGATGCCACCTTACACCAGTCAGAATGACAAAAATTAATAAGACAGTAAACAACAAGTGTTAGAGAGGATGTGGAGAAGGGGGAACCCTCTTATACTGTTGGTAGAAATGCAAGTTGATGCAGCCACTTTGGAAAACAGTGTGGAGATTCCTTAAGAAATTAAAAATCGAGCTTCCCTATGACCCTGCAAATGCACTATTGGGTGTTTACCACAAAGATACAGATGTAGTGAAAAGAAGGGCCATCTGTACCCCAACGTTCATAGCAGCAATGGCCATAGTTGCTCAACTGTGGAAAGAGCCAAGATGTCCTTCAACAGACGAACAGATAAAGAAGATATGGTCCATATATACAATGGAATATTATGCCTCCATCAGAAAGGATGAATACCCAGCTTTTGTATCAACATGGACAGGACTGGAAGAGATTATGCTGAGTGAAATAAGTCAAGCAGAGAGAGTCAATTATCATATGGTTTCACTTACTTGTGGAGCATAAGGAATAACACGGAGGACACTGGGAGATGGAGAGGAAAAGTGAGTTGGGGGAAATTAGAGGGGGAGACAAACCACGAGAGACTGTGGGCCCTGAGAAACAAACTGAGGGTTTTGGAGGGAAGTGGGGTGGGGGGTTGGGTGAGCCTGGTGGTGGGTATTAAGGAGGGCACGTATTGCATGGAGCACTGGGTGTGGTGCATAAACAATGAATTATGGATCACTGAAAAAAAATTAAGTTAAATTTAAAAAAAAAGAAAAAAAAAGGTTGAATATAGCAAATTCCTATCGTTTCACTCAATATATACCCCAAAGATAATGTAAAATGGTACCGTAGCACCCTTCCCCACCTAATAGGTCTGAGTCTTCTGCTCAGATATACAACTCACTTATTAGAGGAACAAAGAGGAATTAAATCTTAAAAATACGGCAACCTCTTGCCTCTTTTCTAGCTCCTCCTTATACATATATATTCATGTCAAGAATATTTTTCAAGGTTAAAAATCCACCAACCTATATACACAAGGCAATTTCTTAAAATACATAAATATGTGCTATGATAAAAAATATTTAGATATTTTCTTTGACTGGGAACATTTCCTTTAAAGATGCTTTCAGGAATATAAACATTTTGTACATTTTTTTATGTCCCGTGAGAGAAAACCCTAATCCTTTCTGTAACTGCTTAAAAATTTTTTTAAAACTGGGCCAGCTGCATGGCTCAGTCGGTTAAGCATATGCCTTCAGCTCAGGTCATGATCCCAGGGTCCTGGGATCAAGTCCCGCATCAAGCTCCCTGCTCAGCGGGGAGCCTGCTTCTCTCTCTTCCTCTGCCTGCAGCTCCCCCTCCTTGTGCTCTTTCTCTCTCTCTCTCTCAAATAAATAAATAAAATCTTACAAAAAGAAAGATTTTGAGAACTTGAACCTGAAAAGGCATAAAGTTAGTGATGGACAATTCTACCGTAAGTATCGTTTTTGTAATCTGTAACTTTCACTTAACATCTTTTTTTTTTTTTTAAAGATTTTATTTATTTATTTGACAGAGAGATCACAAGCAGGCAGAGAGGCAGGCAGAGAGAGAGGAGGAAGCAGGCTCCCCTAGAGAGCAGAGAGCCCGATGCGGGGCTCGATCCCAGGACTCTGAGATCATGACCTGAGCCGAAGGCAGTGGCTTAACCCACTGAGCCACCCAGGCGCCCCCCGTTTCACTTTAGAACGCTAGCTGAAGCAGCAAAAATTACTTGTATTGACCTTGACCACTGGAAACAATATCCTTTTTAATATCTAGTGTCATGAACTAGGAACTGCACATCAAGCTTTTCTTCTTCATAGGGAAGTCTGACAGCTGTGAACTGAACTAGTCACTCTCTTCGTGAAATCCATCTGTTACCTGAAAGAACCGCAGCATGGTTATTCACACTGGGGTACTTGGCAGACTTCCCCCACCCCCAAAC